GTTAAGACCACAGTGGAATTATCACAGTTCAAGGAAGACGCTTAAGTTATAATAAGCATAAAAATCTAATAGTAAATAGACTATTAAATTAAAATTAAGGAAATCTCCACAACAACAAATTAAGCATCATTCAAACCTTGATGGCCATGTGGGGTAAGGAAAATGTCTGAATCAACCAACTTCTTCTTTCGGATTCATAGATTCAGCTTCTTAATGTAGATCCCAACAGCCAGTCTCAGCAATAATAGGAAGAAGTGGATACAGAAAACCTAAATCAACTGGTCAGTATGCTCATTGTTTTCAGCTTCGTGCCTTTGAAATACAAACGCAATCTGATAGTGTTTGGTCCGCCACAGAGCAAGAGAGTAATCTACTCTGATGAATTTCTTAATCAAGAACTTAATATTATTAAACAGTTGTTGATAAAAAGATGAATCAAAAATCAAGGCAGCCCAAGGTACAAACAGTTCCGAAAATGGAAGTTCTTAGTCTTACAACTTCAGTTCCCCGGTGATGATAACATCATTGAGATAGTAACATAACGCCTAAGGAATAAGGCGGTAAACAGAGCATTCAGTGCTGCTGAATTACGCTGTGTCTTCAAAACCACCCCTATTTTGCATTCGAGAGTAAAAGATACACTGCCTAATTTCGCTTCTTCTATGTGTATTTACCAATCTGACTGCCCCTGTGGAGTGAGCCAGTCAGCTGCATAGGCCATACAATTAGGCGTGTTTTTCGTCGAATTTCCGAATATCACCCTACATAGTGGTTAAGTAAAGGTCAAACAAAATCCATTCATAGCGCTATTCTATCTCATCTTGGGGATACAGAACACAAGATTGATAGAAACAACAAGGCGGCTTTCAAAGTTATTTACCGCATACGAACATATCTTATCTTCGCCTTAAGAGTTCGACTACTAAATATTGCTGAGGCTGACCGTTGGGATCCATATTAACAAGCCTAATTTGTGCATCCGAAAGAGGTTAGTTCAGACATTATCATTACCTTGGCCATCTAGGTTCTACTGGTCCTCAATTATTTGTAGAAATTTCTTTAATTTTATTTGATATTATATTTTTATGCTTATTATAATTTATGCATCTTTAATGAACTGTAATTCCATTGTGATCTTACTTAACAAATCGATATTATTTAAAAAACACTAATATTGTTATTGACTACTATTCTAGAATATTCTATGTATATAAACATATATAATATATAATTGTAGAGTCAGAAGAGGAAATTATCGAAAAGGATGATATTCTTTGTTCAATTATTTCGTTTTTTAAAACTTATAACAGAAACACCTATTAAAATATCGTACGATAAATGATGCAAGAAGGAATAGATATATACATATACAACGAAGACAGGGCAGGTAGGCGGTTTATTTTTGCCTCCGTACAACAGTGATCGATATGAATAAATCATTGTACTTGCATATAATGCACACAGACACACGCCAACAGCCGGTGAGTATTAGTAGTAGTTGTAGTAATAGTAGTAGCAGGCATACTTATTGTAACAAAACCACTTAACCCTATAATACAAATTATCTCATTGTGTTAACTATTCCAAATTAGATTTAATCATTTATTATTATAAAACATTGAACTTTGAAATAATAATATTTATTAAAACAAGGCTGTATATGTGTGTATACATACATAGTAACTTTATATGAACAGGAGAAACAACCAAACAACAACAGCCACAGTTGATAATGATAATAATAATGACTACAACAAGTAATACAAGTTAGATTCTATGCTTTATAATCTCTCTTAATACAATAGTAATAATTATTATTATTGTTTCCTTTAGTTCCTAGAGGAACATAGGGCTTCAGCCGCACGTCTCCATTGCGTTCGGTCCCTTGTCAACGTTTTCATCGTCTGGCTCCACGTCTGCCCACATGCTTTCATCTCCTCTTCACATGACCTCCTCCATGTCACCCTCGCATTGACGACCAACCTGCCTATTTCCATTCGGGTTCCACTCGAGCGATGACCTGGCGTGTGATGTCACTTGATGGTTTCCCCAGAGTATGGCCTCCAATCCACCTCTATTTCTTCCTGCTTATTTGTTGCACAATTGGTTCTTGAGCGAAGTATCGAGCGAAGACAGCTGTTGATGAAGGTCTTTAGTTTGTTTGAGGTGCCCTTCGTGACGCGGCGTCCAAGTCTCTGATCCGTATAGTAAGTAGCACTGACTTCACATTGGAGTTGAAAATCCGGATCTTATTTTTCATGCTGAGTGCTGTTGACCTCCACACAGACTTGAGAGAAATGAAAGCTTGCCTTGATTTCTCGATCCTCGCTTTGATATCCTCATCAGTTTCGTTCGCCTGTAGTTGAAACGATGCTTCCCAGTAGGTAGTTAGGTAGGTAAAGGAGGTTGCTTCTTTCAGATTTCTCCCATTTATGCTGATTGTTGTCTGTTGTTGTTGTTGCTGTTGGTGTTGGTCAGGAATCTTCATCACCAACCTCTGTTTTCTCAATGTTCACCTGAAGTCCTATGTTCTTTGGATGCTTCTTCTGCCAACTTGTTGCTTTCCATCACTTGCATATCTTCCAGTTTGTGGGAAATCAGACATATATCATCGGCGAAGTCCAGATCCTCCAAGTTCTCTTTTGTAGTGGGTCCATTTTATGCCTGTTTCCTCGTTGCTCACTGTGCATCTGTCGCATTATCCGATTACAATAATAACTACCACAATAATCTTTATATCAAGAGTATGTAGTATACATTGGAGTTCATTTCTAGCCTGATTGATTTTAAATGGTATTAGGATACACCATTTTTTTGTTTTCGAATTAAGCCTGATTGATTTTTTCCTGAGATGTAGTCAGTCAACTTGTGTATTCCTTTTTTATAAAACACAAAATAATTGAGCAAAGAATATCCTTTTCGATAATTTCCTCTTCTGGCTCTACAATTATATATATATATGTTTATATACATAGAATATTCTAGAATAGTAGTCAATAACAATATTAGTGTTTTTTAAATAATATCGATTTGTAAAGTAAGATCACGATGGAATTACAGTTCATTAAAGATGCTTAAATTATAATAATAATAATAATAAAGATATAATAGCAAATAGAATATCAAATAAAATTAAGGAAAATTCCACAAAAATTCAGGATCATTCAAACCTAGATGGCCAAGGTAAGGATAATGTCTGAACTAACTTCTTTTGGATGCACAAATTAGGCTTCTTAATATGGATCCCAACAGCCAGCCTCAGCAATATTTAGTAGTCGAACTCTTAAGGCGAAGTTAAGATTTGTTGGTATGCGGTAAATGACTTTGAAAGCTGCTTCGTTTACATCAATCTTGTGTTCTGTATCCACAAGATGAGATAGAATAGCGCTACGAATAGATTTTGTTTGTCCTTTACTTAACCACTATGCAGGATGATGTTCGGAAATCTGACGAGAAACACGCCTAATTGTACGGCCTATGAATAACTGGCTCCACATACCAACAAATCTCAATTTCGCCTTAAAAGTTCGACTACTAAATATTGCTGAGGCTGGCCGTTGGGATCCATATTAAGAAGCCTAATTTGTGCGTCCAAAAGAAGTTAGTTCAGACATTATCCTTACCTTGGCCATCTAGGTTTGAGTGATCTTGAATTTTGTGGAATTTTCCTTAATTTTAGTTGATATTCTATCTGCATCTTTAGTGAACTGTAATTCCATCTGGGAGGGAGGGGATTAAGGGTATGAAGTCCACTTTATCTGCCGAGGTTTTCACAGATAGATAGGTGAGGCTCATCGCCAACTGTATGAACCACGGGTGTTTGCGTTTAATCTCCACTATTAAATGGTTGACTAAGAAGTAATTTGGAGGCTTTTTCAACACTACGGTATGCAAGGCCTCAAGTCTTAATCGAACTCATTCACAACAGCTGGCTATATGACAATGCCTGCCACGTATCAGGTGATCCACAACGGAAAACTCAGCGAGGTGTTCGAAGTGCATACAGGAGTAAGACAAGGCTGACTGCCTATTATCACCGATGATAATCTTAATTGTGGTGGACTGGATTGTGTGTCAGACTGTGCACAGGGAGTGAGAAGACACGAATACGTTGGACAGATAAGAAGACTCTACAATGTCACACAAACTCGAAGAATTGCAGGCAGGCAGCGAAGACAGGACTGCAGGTGAATATAGAGAAGACGGAGGTGATGCAGATAACCAACCACCACCATCAACAGCCACAACAACAAGCACCAATCACCATCAACGGCAAAAATTTGACAGAGGTTACTTCCTTCACTTATCTACGAAGCATCGTTCCGACTACAGGCAACAGCACGGATGAAGATGTCAAAGCCGCCAGCCAGCCAGCCAGCCAGAATCGGATAGGCAAGATACGCCTTAATCAACCTAAAACCAGTTTGGAAATCTTCTGCACTCACTCACTCAGCCAGTCAGCATAAACAACAAGATTCGGATTCTGTTCAACACAAATATCAAGTCATTCAGTTGGTTCTTCTGTATGTGTCAGAAACTTGCACTGAGCGTGAGTCACTGCAGACTTGTGTCAACAGTTTCCCGCTTCACTGGCTCCATATTGAAGATCAAATGGCCGGTTTGAACAGAAAGAATTACCAACAAGAAACTCTGGCGATGAACAAACCCAACCAAGAACCGATTGCTCAACAAATATGTGGGAGGCCGTCAAATGACACTGTGCAAAATGCAGGCCATCGTTCGAGGGGAATCTGAATGGGAAGCAACGAGTGGGTCGTCACTTCGAAGGGAGACATGGAGCTATATTATGGTCAATCGTGGCCCCAGTCAACTGGAAAACAAAACATGGGCGCCCTTTTTATCTTGCAAACATATGCTTGTTCTCGCGCTTAGCTGAAACTAATCAAGGCAACAGGTTATATGAAATAATAATAATAATTGAGGGAACAATGAGAAAATAGGGGGGGGTGACACACACACACACCCACTCTAGAACTCACCTTTGTATCGACTAAATATCCAGCAAATATAGAGATTACACCAAGTCCTAAATTTTGTACCGATTGAATCAACCCGTAGGCTGTGCCTCTTTGATGCAATGGTAGAATGAAGGCAACCATTGGCCATAGACTACTCGCCAGGATTGAATAAGCAAAGCCCATAATTATCATGATAGCTATCGGTGGGATTTGACCAGTAGTGAATGCAAAGCATATATGACACAGCATAGTGACAATGATACCACTAAACAGCCAGTAGACATTATAACCAATAAAATCGATAGCTGAACCGAATACAGGACTTGCCACAGCTGATACAATATAGACCAGACTGTTGACAATACCAGCGTCTTGAACAGATAGACCAAATTTTCCTAGATTTTCAAGGATAATGCAAAAATTAAATATTATTATTATCATTATTATAATTAGAAAAAACAAACACAATAGCTGGTGGTAGTGACTACATAAAGATACAAGGATTTTGATATGTTTACAGGATTTCATCATGAGCTGACATCGGTAAGAGAACCATTGGAAAACCTGAGAGTACTGGACAACTGTTTCGTCCTAGTTTGGGACTCTTCATCAGTATGCACCCCGGGTACATCCGGGTGCAGCAGGTCGGGTGTGAGGACAAATACTCGCCGAAGACATTCGCCAGCGGTTGCGCTACATCGTGAATTGGCAGAAGTTAGAATTAATGGGTCATTGGATCGGGTCCCAGTGGCTTAATGGTATGCGAGCTCGCCTTGTAAACAGAAGGTCCTGGGTTCGAACCCCGGTGGATGCATACTGATGAAGAGTCCCGAACTAGGACGAAACAGCTGTCCAGTACTCCCATTGGCTTTCCAATGGTTCTCTAACCGATGTCAGCTCATGATGAAATCCTGTAACCAACCAACCAAATCCCTATAAACCAATACTTGATTTGGATATGGTTGTGTTCTTTGAGCCAGCTAGCTGGATGGTGGTTCATTTGCGAAGCTTTCACTGCCCCACACACTAGGCAACATCCTCACTTCAGTGCATACTTCAATTTGAAGTTGAAGGGAGCTTTTAGATTTCTCCACGAGTTTATTAGTTATCTCTCTCCTGGTGGGTGACCTTCAACGTGACTCTTTGGTTGTTCTTGTGTAAGGTTCTTTCTATGTGGCTGTCTAATGTTTGCATGGGATTTGTTGATATACATTCTCATCAGCTTTCTTGGTGTATTCTTCTCTGTCCATGACGACTGTTGTTTTCCCTTTGTCAGCTGGTAGAATGACTATGTCCTTCCTATTTTTCAGCTTTTTGAGGGCCTTTAGTTCTTAAGAGTTGAGTTGTGTGTGTGTGTGCTGTTTCTTCAGAGGCATCAAAATAGATGATCAAAAAATAATGATATCCTTCGACGTCACAGCACTATATACCTCAATTGGACAGAAACTAGCAAAAGAGATCATGGAGCAATTACTCAGCAACGACGAACACCTCCCACAACAATCAAAAATGCAACACACAGGTTGGATAGAATGCATAAACCTATACCTAACAACGTACTTCTAAATTCAATGGCCAAACGTATGAACAAGTCAAAAGAATACCCATGGGATGGATCGCCAAAATCAGGTTTGATTGCAGAAACAGTGATGCAAAGGCTCGAAAACATAATCCTACCAAAGATCAAACCCAAAATTTGGATACGTTACATAGACGACACTTTTGTAATAATCAAAAGAAACGAGTTGGATAAAATCCACAACTTAATAAACAACTTCTTCAACGACATAGAATTCACAAGAGAAGAAGAATCCAAGAACAAAATCCAATTTTTGGACAACAACAGGGGAATTAGTAACTCAAGTTTATAGAAAATCAACTCACATAGACCAAATACTAAATTATAACAGCAAGAATCCAATAGCACACAAAAGGAATTATATACTAACACTATTCAGGAGGACCAGCCAGAACTCATTGCAGCACTCCCACCTTAAGGAAAATTGAAGAAAGATATCTCATGGATGTCTTCCAAAAGAATGGATATCCAGGGAATTTCATCAACTGCGAAAAACACTACATTGGCCAAAGTGGACGTCCCCTTCTTCTTCGTATCCATGAACATAAACTAGCCGTCAAAAGACATGACATCCACTCCCCCATATCGCCCCACTGCATACAGACAACCACGGACGTCAATTAGACTAGGATAACGTTCAAATATTAGACAGAGGAAACACCAAGAATGCTAGAGAATTTTAGAAGCCTGCCTGGTATTCCAGTGAATCGTCAATCAATAGACACATCAACATAGACAAAATTTACAAACCGATAAGAAGGAAATCTCACACACAAAGGGCCAAGGTTCAAGTCAAAGAAACAATCAGTTCTAATACAAGTAGCCTAGAGAGTGCGAAAACACACAAAAACAACTAATCACGTTGAAGGTCACCCACCAGAAGAGATGACTAATAAACTCGTGGAGAAATCTATAAGCTCACTTCAATTCAAATTGAAGTATGCGGTGAAGATGTTGCCCAGTGGTGGGGCAATGAAAGCTTCGCAAATAAATCATCCAGCTAATTCAGAGAACACAACCACATCAAAATCATTCACCTGAGCTACAAATCTTCTCCATCGTATCTAGGCACAATGATTATATAACGAAAACTAAAAAATATCCAAGCAATAGATGAGGCCGATTTCCTGAAGCAATCTGAGCTTCAACACAGAACTCTGCTGCACAAAAGTGCAGCAAGTCAAGTTGCCACATTCCTTGCGCCATCTCTGGCAACGATTTACAGCCATAACACTAATAGTCTCCAGCCAGTGGTTCATAGAATCCTGAGGACCCAAAACCAGACAGCTTACATGTCGATTCCCTCAACTATTTTCCAGCCTGATCGTATGTCGACTAAGATTGCTACTTGAGGAAGGCGATTCCTTAGCATGTGCAACATGTAACCTAACCATCTGAATCGATTCACCTTCAGAATTCCATCGATATTTCTCCTTTGATCGATAGCCAGAGTACCAAGTCAGGTTGAATCATTATTGGCCTAATGGATTACGCTTTGACATTCGAAGTGATCAGTGCTAAATTCGAGTTTTAGTGAGAACGCTATCAATCACTTGAGGAAAAAGTATGTCCAGATGATGAGTCTCGAGTAGGACGAAACGCGTGCACACGGCTCTACTGCTGGTCACCACCAAAACAAGTTGCTTCAAGTGTTTAATTATTCAATAATTAAAATAATCCCCAGAATGTTTAGAAAGTCAGGAGAAAATCTCGCTGGATGTTTCAATGTGTAATCTATAACCTTTTCAGCAGAATTACTTGGGTTTCATTTAGACATCAGAATACACAGTTTAAACGGTATGTGAAATAATGTGAACTTGTCTGAAGGTCAACTATATATGTGAATAAGTGTGATTAGTTAACTTGTTATTGTCAAGTTGTTGAAATGTCTACATACTGGATGCATGCGTGTTGTTAACTGTATGAAAATGAATAGGACAGACATTGAGGAGAATTCATACATTTATTCCCCTTAATGAATTTGAATAAAGTGAGAACTACAGTTGTTTCAGAATAAAGTGGTACCATCATTGTTTATTTCGTTGCCTTCTCATCAGCTGCTTACAGGCCAAAGTCATTATTAAGTATATATATATATATATATATATATATATATATATATATAACAATTTATCCCAATGGAAAATTTCGACATTACGTATTCAGATGAAAGAGTGATAAAAATATCCAGTTACCAGGGCAAAGAAAGATTGATAACTTCTTCTTTCTGAACGCGCAAATCACCTTCCAGGCGCTTGATGGAGATGGCTTCAGCAAACTTGAGGAGAATTGAGCTCTTTTGCCTATTGATAATTTTGAACGATTTTGCGACGTCCACTTCATGACCCGTGTCAAGGAGATGCCTGGCGATGACACTGGTCATGAGTTGGAAGTCGCAAAATCGTTCAAAATTATCAATAGGCAAAAGAGCTCAATTCTCCTCAAGTTTGCTGAAGCCATCTCCATCAAGCGCCTGGAAGGTGATTTGCGCGTTCAGAAAGAAGAAGTTATCAATCTTTCTTTGCCCTGGTAACTGGATATTTTTATCACTCTTTCATCTGAATACGTAATGTCGAAAGTTTCCATTGTGTATGATCATTATTGTTTGGGATAAAGTGTTATATATATATATATATATATATATATATATATATATATATATACTTAATAGTGACTTTGGCCTGAAAGCAGCTGATGAGAAGGCAACGAAATACTCAGTGATGGTACCACTTTATTCTAAAAAAACTGTAGTTTTCGCTTTATTCAAATTGAGGAGAATGTTGCTTGACATAGCACGTCGAGCATGGTGCGAGGAGGAAATGGGAGCACTTATGGACAACCATGGGACTAGCTAGAGACGACTGCACAGAAAACAGGATGAAGCCCCGTATTATACTTCCTGCCTAAGGGAATAATAATAATACGAATTTGTAGAACTTTGAATGCAAGGGCCACTGGATCGGGTCCCAGTGGTTTACGAGCTCACATTGTAACAGAAGGTCCTGAGTTCAAACCCCATTGGGTGCGTACCGATGAGGAGTCCCAAATAAGGACGAAACGACTGTCCATACTTCTAATGGTCCTCTAACCGATGCCAATTCATGATGAAATCCTTTAGCCAATCAAATCAAATCCCTGCAAACCAACACTTGAATAATAAGTGTCTTTCACTGTGTTAACTGTTTTTATTGGCATTTTATTTTGACCATTATTGTTTTCATTTTGGTTAGAACTACCTTTTGTCAGTATCATTATTCCAACCCGTTTCACTATTAATACTATTGTTATTACTACTATTATTATTATCATTCAGTTTGCAATTCTTAACAATTTCAAGTTCTCTTTATGATAACTAATTGTTTATCATAGTGACGTAACCACCTCGCGTACGCCTTCCACCGCTTATCGATCTAACTAACTGAACTTCACCTATGAAACATTTTCACCTTTCATTTTTGTTATGACTAATTCATTGTAGTTTATTTATTTACTTATCACAGTCACACATATCTACTTTTGATTGGACACTAGTTTCACTAACTAGTGTAATGTGTGTGTGTGTGTCTAGTCCTCTTATGTGTTTGGTGCAGACTGAATGCTCCATTATGGATAAGACTTGATTTTGATAATGTGTCACACATAGTGTAGTGTTATACAGTAATATTAACCGATGACCACCTGTCGAGCACAAACTATTGCCACTCATAATCATATCAAGTCACCCACTCACACAACTTTCTTGCTTCATTTATATACATGAGTGGAATCGATGATTAGACATTTGAATAAAATCAGTAATATAAGATAATGTACATTCAGAAATAATAATATGAGTGTTATCAATCAAATACAATCAGATGCGAAATAAGACGAGTGTTTTTTATAGTCAAAATAAGTAACTTGTTGGAATGTTGTGATGTACGTAATATGAAATAGAATTTTAAGATTATTTATTATCCTCTTCCATATCTCTGGTATTTGCATTGAGTCATTTCTGTTGCATGTGTTGGGTGTAGACTCGATGAGCACATGCAACAGAAATGACTCAATGCAAATACCAGATATATCGAAGATATTATTACCACCAGTCAAATCAAAAGAGGATAATAAATAATCTTAAATTGTATTCTATTTCAATTCAAGCACATCACAACATTCTAACAAGTTACTTATTTTGACTATAAAAACACTCGTCTTATTTCCCATCTTATTGTATTTGATTGATAACACTAATATTATTATTATTATTTCTGAATGTACATTATCTCATATTGATTTTTATTCAAATGTCTAATCATCAGTTTTCACTCATGTATATAAATGAAGCAAGAAAGTTGTGTGAGTGAGTGACTTGATATGATTATGAGTGGTAACAATTTGTGCTCGACAGGTGGTCATCAGTTAATATTATTGTATAACCACACTGTGTGACACTTTATCAAAATAAAATCTTATCCATAATGGAGTTATACTCTACCACCACAGTGCCCAAGTTTTATACTTATATCAGACTGAATGCTATCAGTCAAGTTTGCACTGTGGCCAATCATGCCACTACTAAGTGGCTCGCCATCATGGTGCACTTTGAATTGTTGGTATTAGATGTGGTTGGAGGCAATCAGCCATAGGAAGCCTTCGACACAACCTAGGTTTCGTGCTAGTTGGCTGGCACTCACCAGTCAGTCAGCAAGGCGTGTATCTGCAACTGCCTTGAAGGAACTCATATCCCTTCTGATATTTGAACCCGCGTCACTCAGTCAGAGATGTTGCGACTGAGCTATTCGGGCTGGCGACTGACCTCCTGTAGGACTGTATTGGATACTTTAGATTGGACACTAGTTAGCAACTACTGCAATGTGTCTGGTCCTTTGTTACTAGTTACCAACTGCAGCACTGGATGACGCAGGTCCAAATCTCAGAAGGGACATGAGTTCCTTCAAATTGGTTGCAGATACGCCTTGCTGACTGACTGGTGAGTGCCAACTAGCACGATACCTAGGTCAGGTAGGGGTTCCTTCCGATTGCCTCCAACCATCTAATAGTCACATATCTTCTTATGCATTTCTCACAGTATATTTATACATGAATTACAGTAGACAATAACTATTACAAAATCCACTTTATTCAGTGGATACTTCACGTTATATTACTATAAGAATATGATTGGGTAACTAGTAGTTTATGAATATTTATAAAACCTGTTCATTTTCCGTATATAATGTGTCAACTTCTTACCAAACTACCATCTAATACGCTGTTTTCGTTTTTGTATTACATTCTTATTAAAACACAAAGTTCGTGCAATATGAGCACCGAAAGATACATCACACAAAATGCCATGGTTTGTGTAAGGGTTGGGTTACTCTCCACGGACGTCCAGATCGAAGCAGATGGTTGTCGTCTTAAGGAGCCCAACTCCCCACCCCGAGTCTTTGACTTGAAGTCTGATCTACAATACAGTGTGGTGGTGTCAGGAGCTACGTTCCCATAGTTTTCGGAGTATGGAGCCCATGTCCATCATGTGTTTGAAATCAGGGTTTTCCAGTTTTCCTTTGTAGACCAGTATGTTTACCAGTCCGGTTGTAAGCGTCAGGCATACACACATTGTCCCTATCAATTTTGTGAGTGACAGCCTGACCTCGTGAAGGTAATAAGTGGGAGGCTATGAACGCGTGGTCACATGAGAATATTTTGAGAGGAAGACCAACATATATATCAAATCATTCAGGGCTTTTATATGCTTCAGAGAATCACTGTGTCCCACATTAAAAGCATTTTAAACAGGTACTGTGAACCTCCATCAAGAGCTACCCTTTTCGCTCCTTACAGAAGGTCATAATAACCAACCAAGAAGGATAAACAAGTAAAAACGAGAGCTCTGTTAGGCAATCTATCAGGCAGTAAATATGACGAAGGAAATGTAGGTGAACTGAACATACACTGAGAAGACTATAAATTGGATATCAAAAGCCATGCCCTACAGTGGAACTCAAATTGGAAGCAACTGGTTGATCATCCGCCGGTGACATGGAGATCATATGCGGAGGAAACGAAATATTGTGGACAGTTGTGTAACCAGTTGGAAATGACGGCAGAGAATTAAGTACCATGAAGATGTGCCGCTAAATCCCTATGTTCTACTGAGACCGTATTATATATATGGGACTACTGGAGGGTTGTTTCTTCTTAGTTTGAGACTCTTCAGAGGCACGCACTCGCCGGGGTTCGAACTAGGGGTCTTTCAGTTGCAAGATGAGTTCATAGATAATTCAGCCACTGAGGGGAAACCATTGGAAATTCACAATTTGAGGTGAACTTTCATTGCAGTTGCCTTTGAAAACAGAAATTATTTATAACAAAATGAGTACACACTGTTGATGAGTTCGTCTGTGAACGAGTGAAACGACTGTCCAGTATCCAGACAACTTCGATGACATGGCTGGTTAGGTTAGCAAAGCACTACTGATTGATGTGGATGGTATGACACTACTACTCATACGAATCAGTCAGTAGTAGTATGTAGCCTCAGTCACTTAAAGTTCACTTTACCATCAGAAATTGGAATAAAGTAGAAGAGTATTCAAGTATTGGTTTGCAGGGATTTGATTTGATTGACTAAAGGATTTCATCATGAACTGACGTTGGTTAAAGGACCATTGGAAAACCTGGACAGGGAGTAAGGGACAGCTGTTTCTTCAGACTAGTTTCGGACTCTTCAGCGGTACGCACCCAATGGGGTTCGAACTCAGGACCTGTCTGTTACAATGCTAGCTCGTAGAACATTCAGCCTCTGGGACCCAATCCGATAGCTCATGAATTTGAACTTCTGTCAATTCACGCGCGATATAGCGCAACTGACACTAAACAATGCTGTACTCAACTGGTCACGAATTCCCACTAGAACCCAGGCGACTACCTACCTGAATAGGACCAGTCGCCACTAGTAAGCATCAGGTTGATGTTTGAGTGTTCGTTTGCAGGGATTTGATTTGATTTCATCATGATCTACGAGCTCGTCTTGTAACCAGAAGGTCCTAGGTTCGAACCTCAGTGGGTGCGTACTGGTGAAGAGTCCCAAACCGGGACGAAACGGCTCTTCAGTACTCCAGGGTTTTCCAATGGTCCTGTAATCGATTTCAGTTCATGATGAAATCCCAGAAGAGTATTATTAACTCTTGCACTATACATATACAATAGGTGGCAAATTATAGCTTACATTGTGATATTTAACAGATTACGAGTTTACACTATGCATAATAATTACTCAGAGGTTTAATTACACATACAAACAAACTAACTTACTTTCAAAAAATACCAATCCTAAACTAACAAACGGGAATACTGTAACATAATAGGCTACACAAATTATACAAACAAGCCAAATACCACCGGGGAAGTGTATAATATCCCGGAGTGATATTTTCTCATGATTTTCTTTATTGACAGCAGATGATTGTCCCCCGTCCTGTTGTTCATCATTATCATCAATTCGTCTAGAGGCATTAGAATTAGTCTGAAGAAGTTTTTCGTGTAGTGATTCTCCAGTAACGCCTAAAATGCGCTTAGCTCTAAAAGAAATAGAAATAAAGTAAAGAATAGTAAAAAGGGTTCAATATGATTTGCTAAATAAAGGATACCGAATGAATTATGCAAATGTAGAGGCATAATGGTATATCATCTTGAACATAATCAATATATTCCCCCCCCATTACATACTACTTTTTTATGATACGGGAAGTAGCGTAAATAGAAAGTGAACAGTTACTCTCGATCTTTTACGTACAAAGTAACCAATGTATTATGTTAATAAATAATAATAATTGTTATTATTATTATCGTTCCCTTGGGTTCCTAGTGGAACAACAGAAGACAAGGGCCAGGCAACAGATCGTTTATTAAGGAAAATCAACACATATATTTATAGATTTTAATGTACATTATTGTAAATTATTGTTAGTAGAAAATATAATCTTTTTATTGGTTGTTTCTCACAGAAAGTTAACCTTGCATCTCTTTGTGGCTGGCTGTGTCAGATCATCCATATGCTAACTGTATCCGCCTACGCAAAGCCTTTGTTCTCATTTTCTCACCACCAATATTGGGGACATAAATATTGACGTCAATTACTGTCTACCAACTTTGGCTAGCAGCCAGCTCTCATCACAATAATACTAATACAAGTGAAAATTGCCGTGGGCTTGTTTCACACTGTATTGTCGATGCAGTATAAAAATCCTAGCATGTTTAAAAATATTGAATATCAATGTTCTCTTTCCATGATAATGTGAGGGAAAAAACAAAGATTACGGCAGTCATAGAGATAAGTTGGTGTTTGCAATTATGAGAGTAAAACAAAGAAGCAACAGGACTATAAATATAATAGAAATAATAAAAAATTGAACAATCATCCAGAGACAGAACAGTAGAGAATTGTCTATGGTTTGTAACTTAGGATATATCAGTGTATGACAGGAATATTACTATAGTGAATAGACGGTAGCCCCATTTATATGTGATTTTAATGGTCTCCTGAGGTCTAAGACGTCTTTTATCATTTGTAATGTGTATCAATCAAGATAAAGGACAAGTGTAGGTGAGAGCATGGTCTTTAACCGAACACGTAATGAGATACAAGCAACAGTCATGATATAATAACAAGTATTGGTTTATAGAGATTTTTGTTTGATTGGTTGGAGAGGATTTCATCATGAGCTGACATCGGTTAGAGAACCATTGAGTTCGAACCCTGTCGGTGGGTGCGTACTGCTGAAGAGTTAGTCCCAAACTAGGATGAAACAGCTGTCCAGGACTCCCAGGTTTCCCAATGGTTCTCTAAACGATTTTAGCTCATGATGAAATTCTCTCCAACCAATCAAACAAAAATCTCTACAAGCAAATACTTGAAAAATTGATGTGATGCTCACTAGCGGTGACTGGCCCTATTCACGCAGTTAGTTACCTGGGATTCTAGTGGGAGGTCGTGACCAGTAGGGTACAGCAGGTCGAAGGTGAGGACAGTTACTCATCGAAGAAGACATTGCTAAGTGATCGTGCTATGTCCAGAATCGGTAGGAGTTAGAATTCATGGACTGGTCATTGGATTGGTTCCCGGTGGCTTAATGGTCTACGAGCTAGCTCGCCTTGTAACCAGAAGGTCCTGGGTTCGACCTTTGGCTGTGGAGTGGGTGCGTACCGGTGAAGAGTTCCAAACCAAGCTGACGAAACAGCTGCTCAGGTTTTCCAATAGTTCCCTAACTGATGTCAGCTGATGATGAAATCCTCCAACTTATAAAAATATGTCTTGAATTTACGAAGGAGTTGAGGTTGATGATCACCATATCAGATAATGCCTTCGTTTACCATCACAAACTCGTGTGTTGCTCGGGAATAGATAACTATCCAAATACAATTTGCACAAAATAGTTTCCACCCCCCCCCCACCATTATGCGCTGAATGGATAGAAGTCTAAAGATGTTACCTAAAAACCTTCTTATGATCCCTGTATCTGAATGTTCGGCTCACCTTTTGTATTTTCTGGGCTATACATCACTAAGTGTGTACACAGAGACGATAACACGATAACGGTGGTGATTAGCATAATTTCTCCTCAATTCTTATTATTTTAGAGCGTCAACTCAAATCAAACAGTACACTTTATGTCCCAGAAGTAAATATTTAATTATACCATCAATGCTAACATAATTTAGCTTTTGGATGACTGGACACCTGAAGTATGAAATGTATATATCATCCCACTGCGAGGATAACATGAGGTTAAGCAAATGACTACACTTGCATTGAATATATACCTCACAAACAGCATGCAGGTGATGTGGGTAAAGGAGAATGATGCTCAGGAAGGCCTCATGGGATCTTGGAAGTGTGTGGGCGGTTGTTACATCCCGGCTGCTCACACCGTGGAAGTTGATTGATTCAGAAATAGGCTTAGTGTTGCGTGACCGCAAAGCCGAGGGGACAACTGTTTGAGGCCGGTCACACATATATGACCTGTGTTGAACTGGTTTCTTGGTTTAGTTCCGTATTAGTAAACTTACCACCGGTTACGGACCACTGTAGGGTAAGTCGAGATGTACAGTTTTTGGGGCTGACCTTTTCTACCCCCCCCTCTCCAGCAGATTGGAGAGACAGCATAGCTGGCTCGCATGCTGGTCATCTGAGGGAAACACCTCACTGCTGTTACACACCCCTGTTCCCCAGCAGTACAACTTCGCTCACAGACCCCCAGCATAGTGTAGCGAAAAATTCTTACACAATGCTGGTAACTGCTTTTAATCTAATCGCTATCCTAACAACCTTCCTGGCATGGTAGGACCTGTAGGAACAGTAGTTCCAGTCAGTGTAGCTTGTTGGGTCATTGCGATGTGCAAGCCCGGTGACCACCACGTCAAGGTAGCAGCTATCATTTGGGCATACATCGATTGCATAGAGGATTCGATGAGGGCCGTACTCATTCATCTTACAAAAAATACACCAAGTACAAGTCCTGATATACACTCTGTAGTACAATTTCATGAATACGAATCTTTAAAGTGATCTGTGCAGCAGGAAATCAAAGGTGCTACAGAATATTTAGAAGAGAAAGGAGCAGGATGGAGAGAATGTTTAAAGAGTAAGAAAGAAGGTTAATAATCAAACGAAGTCAGAGTGTAGACATAAATACGGTAGGTTATCACTTTTTGACGGATGCTTTAACTTTGTCCCGGGGAAAAAGGAGCTTAAACATGGACTCAATGCAAATAAAATTAAATCAAACACCTGAAGTATCCTTATTGTAAGCTATAAAGTTATGTTTTTATGCTGGTTTTACTCTCTCTCTCTCTCTCTCTCTCTCTATATATATATATATATATATATATCTTACCTTCTACATCAAGAAGTTGAGACATTCTGGAATAACCTAACCCTTACTCTTACGATTCGTTAACTCTTGCATCCTGCCTATTATTCTCTATTGTTCCCCCTCAGTTCCTCCAGGGCTACTGAAGAAGGACTATATCTTATTACGCAGGATGTTAAAGGTTGTCAGCAGGGTAAGCGACGTGCCACTTAACCAATTTGTTAATATTCTGGTCGACAGGCACATGGACTCATGTGAAAAATGGGCCAAGTCCATTCTATCTAACTCACACCATCCTCTTCATTCACAACTCTCCCCTTGTATCTCATCAGGCAGGACCAGAAGCCTATATAGAAAACTATATGCTCGCGCTAGCAAGTACAAAAACTCAACCATACCCTACTTGGCTCGTGTTCTGTGCGATAAAGAAAGCATTAAGCGTGAAACTTATAACTTGTTAAATAGTCAGTAGAACAATTGGATCTCGTCTTTCCAACTCATATAATTTATAGGTACAACGTTTTCTTTCTTTCTTTTCCTTTTCTCTCCTTCTTTTTTACTTAAAACATTCTTCTTCGTTTCATATGAACTGTGATCAAGATTTGACCGGATAGTTGCAAAATAATTGAGCGCTGAGTGAGAAGTACACATTTATAAAATTATATTTGTAAAATCTCAGCGAAATTGAAATGATTAATTCCAACGTTTCGTTCGGCAATCTGGTCCGAACTTCTTCAGGGAAATTAATCGAAATTAACATAACAGAGAAGGAAGTATGCGCTGAAGATGTTGCTCAGAGGTTTATATATAAAAGGAACAACTCATGTTTTTAAATTTTGTCCAATCATGAGTCATGCAACAGTCATCAACATGTATAATAAATAAATAAATAAATAAAATGGTATGTTTATATATAAAAGTACATCTCTCGTTTTAAATTGTTTGTCCTGTCATGTGAATCAAGAAACAGCTATCAATAGGTATAATAAACAAAACAAAATTTTTATATGAACTGTGATCAAAATTTGACCTCAGACTTTCAAAATTAGTCTACTTTTGTTAAAATATATGTGTATATGCAGTATCAATGGTGTGTGTGTGTGTATGTGTGTGGGTGAACAGTCATAAAACATTTGTTATTCTCATAGGAGCTGTGATCAAGATTTGACCGGATAGTTGTTTTTTACACATAATATAATTTTATAAATTTGTTATTCTCCCCATAAGAAGACGTAGACAATCGGGAATTTGATCAAGTGTGACTAGTTGTTACATATCCAATTTATTTATTAGTCAGGATTTGCCATGCATGTTGGGTGAATCCCAACAGTTTGAACAGACGTGAAGGTGTGATCTTAGCTATTTATTTATTTATTATACATGTTGATGACTGTTGCATGACTCATGATTGGACAAAATTTAAAAACATGAGTTGTTCCTTTTATATATAAACCTCTGTTATGTTAATTCGATTAATTTCCCTGAAGAAGTTCGGACCAGATTGCCGAACGAAACGTTGGAATTAATCATTTCAATTTCGCTGAGATTTTACAAATATAATTTTATAAATATTCTTCTTCGTTCTTTCACACTCCGTATATCTCGACCATTTTTGTTACCGCTTACGCCAGTAAATATGCTAGTATCTACTATTCTAACACCTTCAAACATTCTGTTCACTTTTGGCTTTGCCGCTGCCGATATGCTAACATGTTGTGGTCAAAATTAACTGAGATTACCCATAATCTATGTAGAATTTTATTTTTATTGTTAATGTACAAACTGGATGCAATACTGTAGTGAAATGCTGAGAATTCCATTCTGTATCACAAGTACTGTTTTGGAATAAAGCAAATTCTATATATATATATATATATATATATATACAAATCTAACTTCTTTCCCAAGTACCTAGTGTGCTGCATCTGTCAACATTTAGATTAAATCATCTTGAGAGAGACAGAGAGAAAAAGAGTCAATCTAACAGAAAAGGAAGGTAACTTAAAAAAAAAATTATTACTAAATATAACATGCCCCCTCCCCCCAAAAAGAAAGTCAAAGATGAAAATATCTATCTAGTGATTTTGCAAGAATTTGAATTAATTTAAACAAAGATTTCGTCACGAATCAACCAACACCCATTGGAAATCACTGAAAACTAAAGGGCACTGAACAGCTGTTTCATCCTAGTTTCGGATTCTTAAGTAGTGCGCACCCACAAATCCACACAAATCGTGATATAACTGACTGATTGACTGCTTTCACTGTAGAAATTTGCACACATGTGCAGCATTTCGAATTGTTACTCTCTCTCTCCATGTAGCGCACAAAGCAGGAGAAGAGAGCGAAAAGAGGTTCAAAAGAGAGAGAGATAATCAACAGGAATATGAAGCAAAATAATAGTAATATGGAAGAATAATAGAATTTTATTGGATATTGTAAATCACAAACAGTAGATGCAACTCATTGAGAACGAGAATTTTGAGCCACATCACCTATTGTCTCCAACCCCCACGCCATTGATTCTTACCATACCGAGGACTCCAACCAGCCAGTCAGAAAGTCTACACCTCCCTATGTGTGTCTGGCTGGCTGGCTGGCTTAGACTAACTGTTGTGGATTTATTTCATTGGCTGATGAAGCTGTGTTTCGGTTTGACCACCGCTAGCTCTTTTCCAGCCTGGCCCAATATCAGCTAACATTGCCCATTGTCGAGGAAGGCGATGACTAAGCACCACCTAACCATCTCAGTCGATGCAATTTCACAGTCTCGTCGACTGATTTCCCCTCCTTACCTAGCACTCGACGCCTAACCTCAATATCGCTTACCCTACTATACCACTTCACACGGGAGATAGAACGCAGACATCTATGATCGAACACAGATAATCTTTTTATGTCTTCTGCTCTCAATGGCCAGGTCTCACAGCCATAAAAGAGGACGGAGCGGACTGTTGAGCAGTACACACGCCCTTTGGTCGATAGGCGGATATCACGTCTAAGCCAGAGACGGCGTAAACTGGCGTATGCGAACCTAGCCCTCTGTATTCGTGCTGATATTTCGTCGGAGATCAAACTGTTGGCACTGGCTGATGGTACTTCCCAAGTAAGTGAAGCGGTCAACGTGCTCTACCACTTCACTTCCTATTTCTAATCTAGGGGTCGGTGAAGTCCAATCCTGCAGCATAATCTTACATTTGGCGGCAGCGAATCGCATGCCAAACATTCGTAGATTGCAGCTCAAGGTGTTCAGAAGACTGCATTTTGTCAGCGTCCTCGCCTAGAAACACTAAATCGTCTGCATATTCTAAGTCAACGAGATTCTTCCCTGGTAGCAAGTCAATCCCTCAGTCGCTGAAGTGTGTTAGGGTTAAGTCCATTAGTACGTCTATGATGAAGTTGAATAGGAATGGGGATAATGGGCATCCTTGACGGACGCCACTAGTCGTCACCACTTCAGATGACAACTCGCCATAAGCCCTCACCTGGCTGCATGAGTACGAGTAGAGTGCCTTAATCAGTGCAATGTATTTTCTCGGCATTCCCTTTACAGCCAAGCATCGCCAGAGTACCTCTCGGTCGACAGAATCGAATGCCGCCTTTAGGTCAAGAAATATAATTATTGTTGGACGCCGGTAAGAATGCCTATATTTTAGAATCTGTCGAAGGGTGGAGATATGATCAATACACCCTCTTCCTGGCCTAAAACCTGCCTGGTTTTCTCGTGTTTGTGTCTCCCGAGCACCACTTAGTCTACGCAGTATTATTGAGCCTAGGATTTTAGATACTATATTAGTCAAGCTAATGCCTCTGTGATTATCACAAGAAGACTTGTCTCCCTTCTTGTATATCGGGATGATCAGTGACTTACACCAACCCGATGGGACTTCCTCTGATTCCCAGACGCTGCCTAGAACCTCAATTAACGCAGACAGTAAACTGTCTCCACCATACTTAAATACCTCTGGAGTCAATCCATCAGGTCCCGCTGCTTTGCCTTGCTTCAGATTAGTTGCTGCTCTAGTAACCTCAGTTAGGGACGGAGGACCTGTGTCTATATCCCATTCAGGGAGGTGTTGGATGTCCGGCAGGCTAAGTGTGGATGTGGGCCAATTAAACTGCTCCTCGTAGTGTTCTTTCCAGCGCTCCAGACGTCTATCCTGGGAGCTAATTATGGTGCCATTTTTTTCAGAGATTGTTTCGCTTATCATTTGCCTTTTACCACCTGTTTCCCTGATAAGCCTGAATAGTTGTCTGGTGTTGCCTATCGCCGATGCTTTTTCCATCTCTTTCGCCTTTGTCAACCACCACTGTTTACGGTCCTTGCGGAGACTTTTCGTAAGTTTCCTTTTGTGCAGCTTTCGCTCCTCATTGAATTCGGAGCTCGCCGGAATAAGTCTCCTAGCATCTATCAATTCGGATGAGGCAGTCGAAATCCAATGGTTTTTACTCACCTTTGGATTTACCTTATTCACAGCTTTTACATCTGTATCTATGGCTGATTGAATATTCTCCCAGGCTTCTTCAGGGTGAGCGCAGCTGTCGAACTCAGATATGTGTTTAGCTAGTTCTTCCTCAAATAGGGACTTAGTTTGCTGATCGAGCTGGGGACGTGATGGTTTTACCGCCAGCTGTTTCCTACGTCCGTTCAGTCGTAAGCACACACGAGCGCGGACCAGCGCGTGATCGGTATCTACACACGTGTTCCAGAAGGAGCGGCAATCTCCTACCGACCCACGCCAACGATAGCTTATTGCTATGTGGTCTATTTGTGTCCAGCGTTGATTTGATGATGGGGGTCGCCAAGTCAAACAGTGTCTGTCCTTGTGTTTGAAGTTAGTGCTTACAAGATACAAATGATTATCTGAACAGAACTGTAGGAGACGGTCACCGTTGTCGGTTCGCTGGCACGGAATTCCGTATGTGCCACCGACATTCTTCTCAGATTGACACAATTTCCCTATTTGAGCATTAAAGTCACCAGCTAAAACGACAATATCTGAGCGTTTAGCCTTTCGCAGCAAACTAGACAGCTTTTGGTAGAACTCATCCTTCGTTTCATCCGAACTGCAGTCAGTGGGGGCGTAGGCGGAGATTACGAAAAGGCATCGGCGGGTAGTGCAGTCCTTTCTCCTTTTCACTGATCCGTTCAGACGGACAGCACACATTCGGCTATCTACCGGGATCCAGTCAAGTAATGTCTTTTCTGCCCTAGTACTTAAAGCTATCCCAACACCAGCTAATCCTCGAGAGCTAGCCGTCGCATCTCCTGACACCCTCAAGGTGAATTTTGCAGATTCATCCTGTTGGCCAGGTGGGATTAGGTGAATAACCACACTTGGGTCTTGTATGCATGTTTCTGAAACACAACATACATCAATGGCTCGGGATGCCAGAGTCTTGGCTAGTGATGCCTGTTGTCCTATTTGGCAAAGTGTCCTAACATTAAATGCCCCTATATGAAATTGGTGGCGTGGCTTTAGGAGACTATCGATGGTGGCTTTTTGGCTTCCATCGTTATCAGTGCACACAGATTGAAGAGGGAGTGAAGGGCCATCAAGTAGAGGAGTTGCATTGGTAGAAGGAAGGCAAAATAATAGAGATGAAGATGGATACAAAGATGAGTGAGGATTAGAGAGGTTTTGCGTGCACTTTGGAGTGTGAGGGCGATTGTTACTTCCCGGCTGCCCACACCGTGGAAGTTGGTTGCGTGACCGCAGAGCCCAAGGGACAACTGCTTGAGGCCGGTCAAACACAGCCTGTTTTCGTTTGTTCTTTTTTATTTGGTGTGTCTCAGTAGCGTATTTATCACTTCTGCCCTGTGACACGGCAGCAGGAAGCGCGGTCGTTGTAAATCCGGGCCCCGACCGATCCGGCATGATATTTTGTGTTTTTGTTTGAGTCATGGCATTGGATTGGGTAGCTGCTTTTTGTCTAACCGCTATCCAAACAACCTTTCTGGCATGGTAGGACCTACAGGAACTTAAGTTCCAGCCAGTGTAGCTCGTTGGGTCATTGCGGTGTTCAAGCCCGACCACCACGTCAAGGTAGCAGCTTTCGGTCGGGCAACACGGTCTACCACTTTACTCCCCTCTGTCTTTAAGCTAGGAGTCAATTTAGTCCAATCCAGTCCTGTAGCAACACCTTACATTTGACAGGAGCGAACTGCATATCAAACATTCAGAGATTGCTGTTCAAGGAGTTCGTGATATACCGCTATCCCCAACCACTGCGTGCGAGGTATATCCACTTCACTTTCACGCATGGTGGACCTCAATATGCACGACAACTTCAGAATATGCAGAAGTTAGAATTCACAGATCACTGAATTCCATCTCAACTGACTGAATGGTCAACGAGGTTGACCTCGTAATCTGAAAATCCTAGGTTCAATCCTTGGTGGAGGGTTATTGGTTATGCACTGCCAGGGAGACCCAAAATAGTTCAGTGCTCTCTGATTTCTAATGGTCTTCCAGTAGTGTTAAAAGATGATAATAGTATAACTCATGATATTAGCAAACAATTAGGATGTACAATGTTACAGTATCGAAAGACCTATGAAAAATAGTGCACTTTCCTACATTACCTGGAAAAAAATATATCAATAATAAGAAAAACAACCAAAGCAAGTACAACTGATGTAGGCCAACTCACCTTCTTGTCAAAAATAGCATAATTATAGCACAGACAAGAGAATATAAGCAAGTAACACCTGCTATTAATAAAGATGCACCCAGTTGTTGATTTGAATGTATATTGAAGTGTTTGCCAACAGCACGATTAAGTTGTTGCATAGTTACCATATTTATAGTGGATCCAACACGTGACATACTCAACTGAAGTCCAAATACTAAAGTCAATTCATTCGGTGGAAACCATTGAGTTAAATAGGTATTCTGTGTTACAGCCAACGATTCCCCGCCAACACCAAAGATCAATCTTGCAAAATACATTGCAGGAATACTTGAATAATAAGCACCAATACCAAATAGTATTTGTCCAAGAAGAACAAACAGGGAGAAAATAATACTCCCCAATGAAATACCAAATACTCGATCAACAAGATAACCACCAACAAAACTTAGAAATACATTTGGCCATGAATAGAAGGCATACAAATTCATAAATTGCACTTTTGACATTCCTAAAGAACTTAGCATAACATCTTGAAGTGCTGAAGGATTATCATAACAGAAGTAACTTCCAAAGGTTAGAAAACATATGAAGAATAAGGCTACATAACGATGAAATCGCCTTCTTGGATTGCATAGCCAACTAGCTCCACAACCTGTTTTGTTTTTAGTAGAAATGAGATTAGAATATATTGTTCTATCTTACCGGTTAGCTGTGCATTATTATTGAAGGATTCTGATTGCATCGCTGACTAAGAAAGATCAGTATTTGAAGTGGATCGGTCGGTAGAGTCTAGTTTATAGCGCGAAATCCCAATCTGAAAGACAAACGGATTATCTATGATGAACAAGTTGGAGATTAATCAGCTTACAACAGTTAGTTGTAAAATAATGTTTAAAAAACGGTGCAGTAGGTTAGGAAACAAGATGTTGTTGTGTTAGTGTCTGCCTAAGCAATCACCACATACTTTTATAATTGTATTTCGGCAAAGTAACAAGGACAAGTAATTTTATTTGAATTGTGTGCAATGTATTTGTGAAACTGCAGGCAATACAAGGATAAGTACATATCACTAGAGACTAGGGGAATTGAAAATGTGTTCTCCTAGTTTGTTATGTCGTAGCGATGAAGAAACATTCACATAGTATTAGGTCAAACCCAATAGAACACAGACAATCAGATAGATTTCAACGGAATAAAGACTACCTGAATAAAGAGTATCAGTTGCTAAGTTAGACAAGTTTCTGTACATGTATTCACCGAGATGACTACAAATAAACTGTTTCTGTGAATCGTTTATCTCTCTCATCCTGGTTGCAGTCTTCCAAAAAAGCCCTCGGTTGAATTATTATGGTTTCCAGCAAGAGGATAGACGACTACTTACCAGGAAAACGTGGATAATAAAACAAATTAAAATAAATGACATCAACTATAAATCTATCCCTAATGATAACCCTAACCTTAATCCTAACCCTAATCATAACCCTTATCTAAACCGTAATTCTAACCCTAATGCTAATTATAACCCTGGTGCTAACCCTAACCCCAATACTTATCTTAGCCCTAATCCTAACCCCGAGTTATTAACACATTGTCCAAACAGTACTTAAAAACGTGATCTGAGTGAAATTTGCTCCCTAGTTGGTGAATATCACTGATATTTCAGCTATGATAATGACAGATGCCGTTAGCCAACGACTAGCATGCGTTCAAATTCATTGGAGCGTTCACACTCCTTGGACGCTATTGTTGAACTTCGCCAATTTTACACCCATAGTCAATCATGGAATTTCACAACTGGAAATCCAAAACACCCAGGAAATCATCATCATTATGTTCAACGATGAAAGTAATATTCATTTCAGACATAGTTTAGTTGAGCGAAGTAGGACAGCTAGCATTTGCAAGCTTCAAGCTTCTGTTCAATAAAATCTATCAACTAAATACAGGAGGTTGACGAGAAACTTACATCGCTCGAGCAACTGGTCTAAATCCTTCAAAAATGACATGAAACTAAATGCAGGATTAACGAGAATGTTCAATGCCAACAATGAAGTTCATTTTGTGTTTTAAAGCTTTAGTCATTTTACAGAAGTAATTCGCAGGATAGACACATACAGGTTAGTCAGAAGCGAAGATAGGGATAAGAAACTAAAAGACGCTGGTTTCAGCTAGACTATAGTATAGCGACCGAAGAGAACGATAAGCCAATGGACTCCGCAAACCCGCTCGGCGGCAATCGGAGTCTTAATTTTTATCACCGTATTTACGCCAAGTGAGGTGAATATAGAGGGGGAAATTAATTGACACTCACTTCTTTTCACTCTTATTTGAATCACAATACCAATATCCTTACAACTAAAAGGCGAGCGGGAAGAAATCAGTTCGGTTTACAATATCCCGTAAGAAAAGATGCAGGACCCTGGCAGAAAAGACGACTAAACCACGGTACCTAAATCACACAGCTTGGTCGAAAGTCATGCTGGTTATGTTTCAAAGTTCACTACAAAGTGTAATTCTAGTGTTTACATGATAAGACGTGTTCATGACTTTAACGATATTCCTTCTTATTAGTTCCAGCATGCCGAATTCGCGTCCCATGGGATATGAACGCTCGAGTAACTTGAGCCGATCGACCATGAAAGCTAAGTGATTTTTACACAAAAAATGACATTTACGAGGAAATGCATGAAAACACATTAAACGGATTATCTTTCTCTGGCATGACTTAAACATACGCCCCAGTTGTAATGAGTAGAAGTTTTTAAGTAAGACTGGTTTCTGTACATGTGTTCACTGAGGTGACTGCAGATGAGCTTTTTCGTGTGACGCGTTCATCGCTGTTATTCTGTTTTAGAGTATTCTCTAAAAGCCATCGACTGAACCACTATGATTTTCAAGTAGAGTATCGACGACTACTTACCAGGGAAGTGTAGATAATAAAACAAATTTACATAAATGATACCAACTCCAAATCTTACCCTAATAATAACCCTGATCCTAAACCTAAAGCATCAAACAGTACTCAACAACGTGATCGGGGTGCAATTTAAACCTTAAATTATGAATGGCGTTTACATTGGCGCTATAATAATAGTAAGTCTCGCATACTAGTATGCGTTCTAAGTCATTGGAGCGTTGGCATCACTGGGACACGATATTTCGACTTCGCCTGAAGTAGATTCAAATATGAAATTCAAACATGTGCTAAATTAAGAAACAATAAACAGCAGGTTCAAGTAAAAACTAACCGAGACTGACTCGCCTGCAGCGAAGGTCGTTCTGCAGCGCAGTCAATTAAAATTGCGACACGGAACTTAGCATCAGGTAGACTTCAGTCTATTAATTCAAACAAAATGAACATCGTATACGAAACTGTGGAAAACACTTATCATTCATTTTCAAGTAATACTCAGACATACATGAGATCCTCTGTCTCCACTGGCTTGCATTTCCACTGCTCAGTATCCCTTTTATGAGCAAATATGGACCTATGGACCTGTGTGCGTCGGTGGCACAGTGGTTAGGACTCTCGCCGACCATGCACATGGTCCGGGGTTCGATCCCCTGCCGGCGCACACCCGATATCTATGGTCGGCCTGAATTTGGGCAACCGATATCCATGCTGAAAGTTCCATACTTGTACTGAAAGTACGGTGTGGAACCAAGCTGTAAATCAAAATAAAAAAAAATAATTAGTTTCTTTTCTGTAGCTTCTTGGGGGTGAAACACTGGTTCTTAATCTTGAGCAGATTCCTGCTAAATCATCTCTGACGCTCGTTCGACTCTGTTTGGCACATGCCAAGCGGATTTTGAGGTTGCTATTACTGAAGGGGCAGATCGTGATTAGTGCCAAGACTGGCACTGCTGTGATCAGAGTTAATCCTTTCGCCAGTTATTCGTTCGCTTTGGTTGAATAAGATGAAAATGATAATAATAATGTCGGAAAAATGCGACACGATTTTGGAAGGGAAGAACAAAGACAGCGACAAATAACGGTAAGTAAGGAATGAGTAGGTAGGGCAAACAGAATATTGGCATGGGAATGAATATGAGTGTCAGAGAAGTTATAGGCTAGAGTCTTGTTGAATGCCCACTTCTACGGTGAATCATGTGTGGGCCAAGTCTTAGTTCGATGGGACTGACAGTTGACTGGACATAGCCTAGATTTTTCTGCATGATTATACAAACACAGCTTGCAGCCATAGCTGATGGTACAGACTTCCGGTGGTAGATAAACTAGAGGTTTAAAAAAGCAGAGGCGCATTAATTTTTTGCCTTCTTATAATTGATCCTTCAGGAGTTTTCGGACTGCATCAAGACGAATGGAGACCACTCACTTTTGCACATAATTCTTGCTCATCAAGTTAATGCGTAAATCTTGAGAAAGGCGAATTTCTATTACTTGCCTGACCCATATTGTGGAGGAGGAAATGGTGCCGGACAGTATCAAATGTTGTCACGAACTCAAGAAGATCATACAGACTAAAAGAGTGACATCCTAGTAGGATTTTCGTCTATCCCATGCTAACGGTAAATTTGTTACATGGGGACTACCTCTACTGAAATGGTGTTATGTCTCATGGGTCTTATGTTCTCATCAAAGTATTTGCTAATATGGTTGTCAACCAAGCTTTCAAAACCTGTGACACTATCAGCAGTAATGTCACAGGTCGTTGGCACACGGCATTTTGACAGTCTACACTTTTTAAGATAGGAGAGAGGATGTTTCTTCCTCTTTATGATGAATTTCCCTGGGTCTCTGGCGTGTTGCAGCAAGTCACATAAAAGTCAAGTGAGAGTTTCCGTGCACTGTTTAGAAACGTATGACAGGATGTCGCGATACAGAGACTTTTAATTTAAATTTTCATACCAGTAAGACACTATCTCTTCACACCTCTGGTCTATATTTTCTTCTGACATCTGTTGTAATAAATTCTTGGGGTTCATCAGTAACCTCTTGGAGAATTTTGCCTGGCATTGCTTGCGGACCTCTGAACGCATACGTTGCATCTGCTCCTCACTGTGCCATTTATATTGTTGTTTGCAGTGTACACTAAGTATCTCGCTCTAACCACTAGTTTACTTCTGAGGATACATGGTTATTGGAGCGATATTGTTACAGACTTCTCGATGGCGATTATCCTTACCATTTCACGGCATTCGTCCAATGGCTGTGCTGCCCAGTAAAGGGATTACGTGGTATCAGACAAATATAAACTAGTTTGGCTCAGTCTACTCTGCTAGGACACATAAAGGGTCACGGAATACCCCACTATGTACTATAACATAGTAACAGGTCATAAGTTGTGACTGCTTGGTGACTATTAGTATTTCCGATTAGCTGATTTCCATCGGCAAGTGTTCACAATTCTAGATACTGTCCACTTCTGATGTCATTCTACTGGTGTTATCATCTATCCTGCCAGTTAACTTTGCTTTTCCTACGTTTTGTGGAGGATTTTAGTCGAAAGTGACACGTTCGGTCTCCCAAATCTAGGTGAAGAGTGTTTGATTATAGTGATTTGATCTGAAATTCGCATAGTCATCCTTGTGGAGAGCAGCTGCTAGCTGCGTTTTTTCCTCACGCGAAGTTGAACGGGAATTGCTAGATAGTAGATCTCGTCTTGGTCCCCATTCGTCGCTGCATAGGTTGTTAACAGTGAGTCTCAACAATTCGTCTGACAGCGAGGTGGTCAGGTGGGGCGGGAACTTTTAAGTGTTAATATTTGAGATATTTAGCCGATTCCAGCGAGACCTCTCTGTTACCATCCTTTCATCGAGTTGTACCTAGAGATTTGGATTTATGTGATTGTCAACATTTTCCACGTGATATCCCTGCAATGCGGTTGGGCCTTGGCTAAATATGGCAGCCTAAGTTTTCTGCCCTCGACTCTCGTGACAGCCTATTTCCCTACCACCCGTGTCAGCGACCCTTTCTGTCAGTGCAGAAGTGCGGTTAAGTACTCTGAGGAGCTGAATTTTACCGCAGGAAATCGTACTTAGCTAAGTCCTGTGAGGCAAGGCAGTGAAGTCTGAGGAGATTCAGTGTCTCATATCCACTAAGCCACACCCGGGAGGATGGACTCTTTGATTAATGAATATCGTGGAGGTGTGTTTGTCAAAGTTTGATGAATGCAGTGAAAAACGATGTACCCAGCTATTTACATCCCTTCCACAATCAAGTATGCGTTAAATTCACTTATTTGGGCTTTTTGTTTATGGTCTTTATCTCCGGTAGACTCCTGCATTACCATTTCTGCCACTCGTCCAGAGTGGCTCTAGCATTCACCAAGAGTAGTCGCTGTCGATTAATCTTGATGGGGAGTTTGTGGGTTATCGTAAAGTCAGAGAGATTTTGACTTCGTCGAAAAGAAAATTTTCTTCGCTGTAACTGTCATTTTGCAATAGCGTCATTCATTTCTACGGTAAAGTAGGAAAACATAGAAGTAGTAACAGTGGTAATAAAGCTAGAAATCAGGGGAAAAACTTTGTGAGGATTTCAAGAATAAGGTCAAATGAGAAAACTTTTCAACAGAGTGACAACATTCGAGTCTTTTCTGTTTCTGCAAAATGGACTAAGATGCCAGATTCAGTAAGCAAGCTTTTGAGGAGTCAGGATGACTGTCTTCGATTTTCGCACACTGCACACATTCCCATTAATTTAGGCCAACACCTTGAATGTTCTGCAGTCTCCTTGAGGCTTCAGAAAATCACCTTTATGGCTCCCGTAGATCCTACAGAGTCGGCTTATACGAGTGATGGTATTTTCCCTAAGCTTCAACCTGCGAGTTCTGACTTTTAGCAACCGGCACTTGTGTCGAAATGACTACACAATTTATCGACTGATAAAATGTATTCTCTCAGGAGGTTTTGAGGTTATAATTGTCATTTAGGAGGCGCCCTGCTGGACAAGCGGAGTGGAGAACCGTGTGTAATGCGCCGAATGTGGTATAAAAGGTCGAAGGAAGTTAATCAAATCCAAAGGGAGATGGGTTGAAGATACTGTCTAATGGTATCTACCTTTCTGGGAATTTGTGCCATCCTAGTGTCGTAACTGAGAAGTCCTAGGATCTCTATTATTTCTCCCCCGAAACCCCTCTTACTTCGACTGATTGTTACGTTGCCGTCTTCTAGTTTGCATATAACTGACGGAAAATAGCCTTTATTTGTATATATCCGATCAAGCAATGAGAAGGTCATCTATGTACACGTCGGAAGTTGGAATTTCGCGCAGCAAGTAATCCATAAAATCTTGTATATCTTGATTTTGTTCATTCCGAAGGCCGAATGGCATCCCTATAATCTCATAAAATCACAGTAAGTGACGACGGCTGTTTTAGATGTGTTTTCCTTAGACACATGGATTTTTTTACTTTGATTACAGCTTGATGCCACACCGTATTTTCAGTACAAGTATGGGATTTTCTGCATGGATATCGGTAGCCCAAATTTTGCAGGCCGACCATAGATATCGAATGTGCGTCGGCAGGGGATCGAACCCCGGACCGTGTGCACGGTCGGCGTGAGTCCGAACCACTGTGCCACCGACGATGATGTAATAAGAGTGAGCTAAGTATGTTGAAGTAAATATTGTGGAACTTAAAACATCATTGTTACAGTCCTGAACGTGTGGCACAGCGAATCAGCCTTGGGTGGTTCAGGGATTTGTAATCACCACGACGGCACCACCCGGTTTGATTTTTCGCATGTAACATGTCAAAAATGAAGCCCATTGACTTTTTGACGGCCAAATAATCCCCAGTTGAAGCACATTTTAGAGAGTGAGGGTGTTGACGTTCACGGATAGTACGATGTATACTAACGCAAGATCTGACACCCACAACTTCTCTAGTATTCTTCCCGCATAGACCGAAGGCAAAGCAAAATACCGAAAATGATCGTCCAGATTGCGAAGTATATTTCAGGACCAAATCTTAGTGCGAGGTTGATTGCTCAACTAGCTAGAGATCGTGCATGAACGAACGTAGCACGACGGCGTACCAAATGGCGTGGATGCTTGACCGTAAGCCTTCAGCTAAACAAGTTGACCTAAACAGTGAGGGTCAGCATCCGATGTTCAGTGATGAATCCTGTGGCTAATAATTTCGGTGAATTACTTACGGCTACAATGTAATCAAAATCACCTTTCGCTAATTTCAGTTTGTCCGAGGCTAAACTTCTTGGTTTAGCGAAAACTAGTGTTCCAAATGTCCAAATATTATGAGTAATTTTCAGGCCAGTCTTGAAAGTTCGATGATTGGTTAATAATAATAATGGCGCTGATGTTTTCCGGAACTTTCCGGCTGATAATGGTGGAATCTTGACAACCA